CTCTCTCTCTCTCTCTCTCTCTCTCTCTCTCTGTGTGTGTGTGTGTGTGTGTGTGTGTGTGTGTGTGTGTGTGTGTGTGTGTGTGTGTGTGCACACATCCACATACATCCAAAGATCAGCGAAGGGCTAGGAGTAGGCAGGGAAGAAGGCAGACAAGGTGGGTAGAGAAGACAAAGGGCCTCGCCACACCACTCTCGAAATGTGAAAAAGACAAAAAAGTGGCCCGTGCATCTGGCCATGTTCTAGCAGGAAGTTCGTTCTCATGTTGTACATTTCGAGACTAATGCGGCGATGCCCAAAGAGAAAGAAGGGAGTGCAGGAAGTGGATGAAGGTAGGAGGAGAGAGGAGAGAGGACAAGGAGGTGGGGCGGGAGGACGGCAGGGGGCAGAAGAGAATTAAAGAGAAAACGAGTCTAGGAGGACGATGCACGAGAAAGAAGGATTACGGGCATCGCCACACCACTCACGAAATGTGACAAAGACAAAAACTAGGGTGGGTGTATGGGTGGGTGTATGGTGGGTGTATGATGGGTGTATGGTGGGTGTATGATGGGTGTATGGTGGGTGTGGGGTGGGTATGGGGTGGGTGTATCTTTCCACGTTTGCGGAAAACACATGCTCCATTTTGCGCATTCCGGTAGTGGTGCGGCGCGGTCCTATAAGGCTATAACTCACCTTCTTCCCAGGTTGAGCTTGGCGTAACGTCCTTCGGGACATACGTTAAAATTGGAACGATGCAGAGATGCTTTGCATGGACCCTGCGTATGTTGGGAAAAGCATAATGTCCTTCGGGAAGAGCTGCTTTTTCTTCCTCTCCCTTCAAAAACCTTTTGCTGGTATTTCTTGGATTCTAGGGTTGATGTGATGGTACCTCTTGATCTCTGTGGCCTCTTTGTCTCCCTCCCTTCTATTCTAGGACTCGAATTGACGCGGGTGCTACTTGAATCCTTCATCTTTCTTCCTTTCTTTCAGTCTGTTTCCTCCAGCTGGACTTGAACTGGGGATCTGGTTCTGTTTTTTTTTCTCTTTTTTGTAAGTCCATGGTGTTGTAGAGGCCAGTCGCTGAGTACACAGTGATCACCTGCAGTCGTAGGCCGTGGTTCTGGTTTTTGTTTCGGTGCTTGGTTCTTCTTTTGTATGCTCTGTTCTTCGGGTATTTTCTGCTTCTGTAGGTGAGTTAATGTTCGGGGTCTTTTCTGAAACGTTTTGTTACCTGGAACTTTTCTCTTGGACGCGGTTTGGTGCTTTTGGAACCTTGAGGGGTTATCTCTAGGATGTAGGCTTGGCTGTAGGACTACTTATAGTGGCGTCAACATAGTCCCAGGCCTCCTCCACTGCGACGATTTGACCCCTGATGATGGCCTGGCTGGCGACCAGCCAAAACGTGTGTAGGGTCGCGCTTTTCGTAGCTTGCTGATGCTTCACAGGTTCGGCAGTTTCTTCAGGGAAATGCCGACCATCTTTGCACGATGCTAGCTTGATAGGTTGTTTCTTCTTGTTTATCTTTTATGACCTATCAGGGTCGCATTCGGGAGAACTATGTTGTTGACGTCTTCTTCCCTACCTCCTTCCTCTTCTCCTTGCTTTGGATGTCTGCCTGGTGGTGTCGTCACCTTCTGCATGCTGATGCCTTTTGTATGGTGTATCACTTGCTATTTTATGCTCTATGAATTTAGCTGCTATTTGTGCACTTGTTGAGTGTTTGTGTATGATTACCATTTCTTCGTGCTTGTAACCGCCGTAGGAATTGGACTACGGGCAGTGTGGCTGCACTTCGACGGGTACTTTACTTCACGAAGATGGCGGCTCCATTCGTACGATCATGTTATAACTGTGGTATTCCGGGGCATTTCTCGAGAGAGTGTCCGCACCCTCATAGGGCACCTATGACGGGGGCTAGCGCTACTCCTGTGAACAATCCGATCCTTGCTTTACCACCACCGATGGCTACCCCATTGACTTATGCTCCTGCTCCTTTGGCCCCAGCCCCGGTGCCTGTTCCGGCTTATGGTGCGGGGGAAGGGTATGGTCAACGTGGCGGCAGCGGCTATTGGCGACAGCAGCTTGATCGGTATGCAACTTTCATGGACAAGGCCGAGGCCAAGGAGGCTACTGATTGCGAGAATGAAGAGAAAGAAAAGATGCTGAAGGAACGGGAAGACATGAAGTCAAGAATTGGCGATAGATTAGAGAGTAGAATTGCGAACATCTACGGGACGGTATTGACTACAGGTTGCAAGTCAGTTGGAACCACGGCTGGGCTAACTGGCGAACAGACTAATGTCGAGAAGGAGTTGTCCAAACTGAAGAAGGAGAATGAGGAGTATCGAAGGCGGTTAGACAAGGAGTCATCGAACAACGAGAACCTAGTTGATAGATTGCTTAGAGAGAATGAGAAACTTCGGCGGAAGTCAACAATACTACAGGATCCTTTGGAGAGTAGTATGAGCCTACTTGTAAAGGAGATGCAAGAACAGATGCAAGAGCTTCGTGTAGGGAGGGATTTTGATAAAGAGTTATTGAATGGTCTGAAGGCGGAAGTTTGATTGCTTCGGAAAGAAAAGGAGAAGTCCGCGGATGAGGCGAGAGTGTGGATGAACAAAGGACTCAGGTCAGGGAACAAACGAGGCACTGCCCCTATTTCCACGCCTGAATGTGACCATAGGAGCAGATCTTGCATTCGTTTGACCGAGGGACCAGTTGAAGCTTTGAGGGCGGAACTGCGCAAGACGAAGGACATGGAGTATTGTGCTACTAAAGAAGTCGATGCGTTGAAGAAGAAGAGTACTGATGTTGAGGTTAAACGATTGGATGCTGAGAAAAAGAAGCGCGAAGCTAAAGCAGAAGTGGCCAAGCTAAGGGGTCAGGTAGAAAAACTCACCATGGAGTCTGAGGCTGTAGGCACGGGAGGGACAAATCTGAAGTGCGGATTGGAGGAGGTTGCTAACAGTGCGCTGAAGTCAACTAGGAGGGGGAGACCAAGATTGAAACCTGGCAAAGTGGCGCTTAAGGATAATGAATGAACGGATGTGAATGATCATTACTTGTTTGTGAAGCAGTAGAGTAAGAGGTTGCGCGCGCTCAAGAAAGCTGGTTTGGAAATTATATGCTGACAGGAAGGAATCGACTACAAAACGGTGGAATCCACAGCGGATGAACTGGCTGAGATACGAGTTGTTGCGCGATTTCAGAAACATGGGGTGGGTGGGTCAAAGTTGAGTGTGGTTGAGGATGATGGAGGGGAAAGTAGTGATCCCGCGGCTAGACATGGAGGTGGGGAGAATGAGAATGAGGTAGAAGAGGTTCCCTCTGACTCTGCCTAAGGATGCGCACCAAGCGTGGCCAACAATTGGAGGATTGTTAACGACTTCAGAAACGACCGTTTGTAGTGAGGTGAGAAATGGTGTAAGGGAAGGGGCATATAGGAGTGTTGTTTTGAAACTGATTCTTGCGGGGGAAATTTCGTGGGGTATTGAGTTGCGTGATTATTTGAGACGTGTGCGTGATGATGGTTCGGATTTAGTGTCATATACCGACCCTCTTATCTATGTGTTGATCTCTCATTGGACGAAACATGTATATGTCGGTGCTACTGCGAGGTCGCTGGAAGTCAGATGGCGAGAGCATATCTTTCGAGTAAGAAATAGGGAGGTGATTAAATCGGGTCGTCGGAATCAGTAACTGTATAAATGGTTAAGGCGGTGTGGGGTGGAGAAATACGTTGCGCTTTCAATGTTTTGTTGCATCGAGATGGAACTGTTTGAATTGTAACGTTTCATTATTAGGCTAATTAGCCTGCATCTCAACAATAGGGATAAGCGTAGGAAGCATAGAAAGTGTCGGGGTGATAAGCGTGAACGGCGAAGAAGGTGGGGTTGTAAGGTGACGAAGGAAATTGGGGGGATTTTACGCACGCATGTGGTTTTTCACACTAATTATAGAAGTTATTCCACCAGCTTAGTGAGGATTTGAACGAATGTCGAAAGGAAGGTCGATCTACCGTGGAAGTGGGCTGCAGAGGTGGATCATTGCTTGTGAACCAAGGGAAGTTGGTAAAAAGGCCGTATGGGTCGTTGGAGTCAACTCTTGCATCGGTAGAATGCAATCACGTAGGGCTAAAGGTTGATTGACAGGAGGTATGTGTATCATGTTCTCCTCTATTGTTTCATTTTGTTCGTCCCTTCAGTCTTTCAAACCCCTGCTGGCTAAATTTTTAAGTTATCCACCTCGGAGGAAGGATTTGCTCTCTTGGGACTTGGTGAGACTGATTTGTATGTTTGGCGCTATCCGATCCTTCTCGGAGAAACGGTCGAGGTACTCCTTGCGATGTATTCTTTCTGGAGTAAATGGACGCAAGTTTGGGATCAATGTGCAGAACATATTAGCGGTCAAAATTACCTTTGATGAGACGCTAAGTAAGGTTGCGATCTGAAAGTTGGTAGCAACATTGGTGATGCACTTGGAGCTGTCAGACGCGTGAAAATGAATGATCGTGCGACGTATGCGGGCGGTATGGCAGAAGAACAAGAGTATTGGTGATATTTTATACAGTTTCAAAAGGGTGGTAAGTTCGAGTGCGATCGTGTGTAATTGTGACATGTTTGATGAGTTATACCCTCGAGTTGATGGGCACGTGTGTTTTCGGATGAGTAATGTCGATTTTATCCCAAAATGGTTGAAGAACGCAAGGAATGTCCTGAAACCCTCATGTCACTGTACTAGAGGTTCTCTGAGTAGACAATTGCTTACCACTTTTGACTACTTGTCTGTGCATTGTGGTACTTCACGGGATGAGTTCCGAGGGTTGTTTTAACCTTGTGAGGTGTCCTGTAACTCCGAGGAATTGGGAGTATGCAAGGGACGGCTCAATGGGTTGGTATGTTGTCATGTCGATCACAACCTGGGAAATTATCTTGTTTGTTGTCAGACGATCTACCGCCAGGGCATGGATAAGATGTTCCTGTGTAACTTGGGGTTCGAGCTATGTGAAAGGGATGAGGCAAAACTCAACGCTATGAACGGCCGAAGATATGAGGAGTCCGGTTTGGCAAGTTGGGCAAGTGGAATGTGCATGGCAAGTTGGGGAAATGCTATGTGATCCCGAAGCACAAGGACATTCGAAAGTGGCGGCCAATCTGCCCTTCTTTTGAAGAATGTGGTGTCAGGGCAAGCAAGAAGGTGGCAAGAGTTTTTAACCAGATGTTGTGGGACTTACTTGCGAGGAGTAACTTCAACATGAGGAGCACCGGGGAGTTGGTGGGAAGGAGTGTGGTTGCTAACAAAGGACCGACGAAGGATGAGGGTTTTGTGTCAGCACCATTTCATATCAAGGAGATGTTCTGCAATCTGCCACATGACGTTGTGTTAGAGGCGGTTCACTGGGTGACAAATTTTTTGTTAGCACAGGGAGGTTTCGGAGTGTTGTTGTAAGAGAAAGGCAAGAAAACAAAGATAAAGATGGGGAAGGCACCGATTGGCCAGATGACCGTTGACTTTGCTGACATCATCAGCTTTATGAAATTTGAGCTCAATTGCACGTACGTTAACGCTTGTGGTAAACTGTTACGTCAGCATACTGGGATTCCAATTGGTAAGGCTTCGAGCCTGACCTTGGCTTGCATCCTCTCGACGTATTCATAATTTTGCTTTATGAATTCCCTCGGTCATATGCACTCAATGACATATGGGGCAGCGGGGCGCGTATTGTGGATGATGTTGCAGCTATCTTTGCTTGGTACAAGAAGGAGGTGAGGGCCTCGAAAGTAGCAGCGGAAAAGGTTGTGCAAATTTTTGAGAATTGTTATCATAAGAATCTGATTCTTGAGAGGACAGACAAGGGTCCCTTTAGGGAGTTTTTGGGATGTGTGGTTGGGGTGTGTGATTGGCCGGAGGGAATCGTATGCGCAGGGTGAGGTTCAGAGTGGGCGACTGATTTTTCATAACCTTCCGGACTCTTGCACTTACTCTAGCCAGGAACAAAACTGGTTGTGATTAGTTCCTTTCTATATCGGGCGAACAGATTCACTACCATGAGAGGGGCAGAGGTTGCTTTCCTTTTGTCCCTGAAGATTGAATTGAGATTGAGAGGGTTCCCTGATTCCTACTTTCAAATTGACACTGTTATTGAGACTTTTTCTAGCAAGTTTGGAGGCATCTGGGACGACTGGGTGAAGTGCCTGACCGACTGGGAGTTTGACAGAAGAAGCCGTGGGAGGCTTCTGGAAGGGGTCAGATGAAGAGTTGCTTTTTCTTCCTCTCCCTTCAAAGACCTTTTGCTGGAATTTCTTGGATTCTAGGGTTGATGTGATGGTACCGCTTGATCTTTGTGGCCTCTTTGTCTCCCTCCCTTCTATTATAGGACTCGAATTGACGCAAGTGCTACTTGAATCCTTGATCTTTCTTCCTTTATTTCAGTCTGTTTTTATAGCGGGACTTGAACTGGGGATCTTGTTCTGGTTTTGTTTCGGTGCTTGGTTCTTCTTTTGTATGCTTTGAAGAACGAGTACTTGAGACTGTTCTTCGGGTATTTTCTCCTTCTGTAGGTGAGCTAATCTTCGGGTTTTTTTCTGAAACGTTTTGTTACCTGGAACTTTCCTCTTGGACGCAGTTTGGTACTTTTGGAACCTTGAGGGGTTATATCTAGGATGTAGGCTTGGCTGTAGGACTACTTATAGTGGCGTCAACATAGTCCTAGGCCTCCTCCACCATGACGATTTGAACCCTGATGATGGCATGGGTGGCGACCGACCGAAATGTGCGTAGGGTCGCGCTTTTTGTAGCTTGTTGATGCTTCACGGGTTCGGCAATTTCTTTAGGGAAATGCTGACCATCTTTGCACGATGCTAGCTTGATAGGTTGTTTCTTCTAGTTTATCTTTTATGACCTGTCAGAATCGTGTTCGGGAAAGCTATAGTGGTGACGTTTTTTTCTCTACCTCCTTCCTCTTCTCCTTGCTTTGGATGCCTGCCTGGTGGTGTCGTCAACTTCTGCCTACTGATGTCTTTTGTATGGCGTATCACTTGCTATTTTATGCTCTATGAATTTAGTTGCTATTTGTGCACTCGTTGAGTGTTTGTGTATAATTACCCTGCGTATGGCTAACGTGCATAGATCGAGAAATGGTCCAAATTTAAAAGGTTGGCATCCGTTGTCATGATCGTGGAGGTCGGATCGTGCGGAAGCGTGAGGATGTGGAAACACGCCATGCTTTCAAGTTGGGCCTCGCTCCACTGCTCTCGACATGCGCAAAAGAGAGTGGATCTTCCGCTAGAACATGTGGAAAGACACGCCGCCATGATTTTTGTCCTTTGTGAATGTCGACAGTAGTACAGCGAGACCTTCTCCCAAGCTTGCGTTGCTTCTGCAGCCCAATACACCTCCCCCTTTCTTGGGATCCCTATGTTGGTCACCGACTTTTTCTCCAACAGGCCCCAAGAGCAAAATAACCTTTGACCCTCACTCCACTACTCACGAAATGTGCAAAACATAATCAAGGGGATGCATATTGCCCCCAGCCCTAATCGGCGGTGGTCAGGGAGCAGGGTAGGGCCGCCGGTGGGGGAGGTAGGCCAAAGCAAAGACCGAGCATTTTGCCAGTAGCTGAGCCTCCCACCTACT